AATCTTCTAGACTGAGTGGTACGGATTCGGTAAATGAAATAGGTAATGAAAGTGGCTACCGAGAGACTGAAGACGAGTCAAATTTGAAAGACGGCATAAATCGGGCTACTGTCGTTGGCCGTTCTAAATCGCCACTTGAATCTCCATCCCTCCAGACTGGTGCGACCAACTCTTATAATCCTGTTTCAATATGTCCCCCTGGTCATGAGCGCACTTCACTCCGCGCCGGTGAAGTCGATAATGCCGCTCTATCTCCGTCCAATAAGCGTGCTCCATCGCGTCACCAGCAAGTTGTTATACAACCTTCAAATACTCTTATTCCCCCTTCAATGTCCTCGCCCATCGGACCCAGCGCCAGGTATAGCCCTCGATGTCTTAGCTCTGATTCTGGAACCCTAGGTAACAGTAGCTGTTTTAGTGGTGCAGCATCCTCGATGGTCAACTTTGTAACGCCAGGCTACAAACCTACAGGATTTTCTGGAACCTCAAAGGAATTAGGTGAATCTGGAGTTGGTTGTCACCAAGCCACTACTACGGGCCACCTTCCTGCCACTACGCCAAGCCAGCCAATTTATGAGGCACCTCTTACACCACTACTCTCACGTGATCCAAATCGTCATTTTCGCTCAACGACTACCTCTCGTCCCACTTATTCCAACAGAGCCACAACTCCGGGACCGTCATCGTTAAGGCGTGTTGCTACACTTTCAAGTCATCATGCAGATGGCCCCTCTCCCTTACCTTCAATGGCTCCTTCTGTTTCAACTGCAGTTGGCTCTGAAGTGGTTGCATGTTCTAGGTCATCTAATATATTATCGTCTGCTTCCACAACTGGCAGTATCCCAGCTTTTTACGCTCAGTGGCTAGGAGGCTCCAGTGGGACAAGTACCGGCGCTCCTTTGACATCCGGGTCTTTGGCAACAGGGACTGGTTTCAATACCAGCAGTGTCGGCTTAGGCGGCACTAGTGGACCTCCTAGAAAACTCACAACCGGCCCCCTCCCTTGTCTCAGTAACTCCGCCCTGCACACAAACGGCCAGATACTGCCTACTTATCGGCCGAGCAAACCAAAATGACAAGCAATCTATCTATTTTTTTTCATCCTTTGCTTCCAATTCGTCCTATCTAAATCAGAATCCACAGGCTGTGCTATCGTTTGTGTGCTCTTATCGCATTTGAATATTGCATCAGCTGATTAACCTCATCTTAATTCTTAAACACATCATTAGCTGTAACTTTTCT